AGAAAGGGTGCTATTGAAGATGACGAAAAGCTGATAGAAGCAAAACAAATGCTTCAATTCGACGAGGATAGTTTACGCAAGTGGGAAGAGATGCTTGCACGAAAGGAAGAAGATAATCAGCTAATAGAGAGTTACATGAAGCAGGACACACAGAAGTATAAGGTGCTTATGGCTCTTAAGCTAAGGAACAGACATAACAAAAGAAAGAACGAGTTACATATAGAAATAAAAAATACGAATTTAAATTGATTCTATCTCTTGTTACACAATATATGATGGGAACGTAATAATATAATTTGATTTAATGGTAACTTGATAATTTAATCTTTAGGAATTGGAGCAGAAACGACAAAAGTTTAGCATGGAACTTGAGATTTATCGTCAAGCTATTGTCAAAATTGTCAACGAGACACAAGAGATGGAGATTGTCCTGAATCGTACTGCAAAATTATACATGGAAACGTTACAAGAACGTAGACAGATGATAAATCAGTGGACACAAAGCGTCAATGTTTTACAGCAAAGGGATAATGACATACAAAGCTGTTTAAAAGTATGATTATTCTTTCTTTTTTTATTCCTGCATCAAGTATAAAAATAAATGAAAATTATTATAGGAAATTGAAACATTGCGGGAGATTGACAGGGAGAAAAAAAACGACCTTCAAGAAGCGGAACAATTTTTTAAAGACCAAGTTATGAATAACAAACAATTGGAAAAGTCGATTAAACAATCAGAAAAAGAACTCCTTGTGATCCGAGAGAAACAGTATAAAATGATAGAGACCATTGGTGCTTACTCTATTGAGGTAAAGCAACAAAAAATTTATATTAGGTTTTTTATAAAACTACAGTTTTCTAGTTTCATTAAATTATTACGTGTTAATTTAAATGTAACTGTTTGCGATTATTTTTACTTTGACAACTTTATAGAACGATACATTGTTCACTCATTGTTAATCGTCAAGACAGGTTCATACTCAGAAAAAATTAGTGGGAGATTTGGCACGTTGCATACAACAAGTTCGAACAAATGTGAAGCATAAGAAGATTGAGATTGAAAACAAATGTATAAAAATGGAAAATTGTCAGAAGCAGATTGATGATTTAACGTCGACTTTAGGAGAGATTGAGAGTCGAAAATTAAACGTTGAAGAGAAAACAAAGCGCTTAGAAAAGATGATTGAGGTTTGTTATTGTAATAAAAAGAAGTTATTTGACATAATAGTATTTGAAAATTATAATTCTAAATGATTAATAATTGAAAAAAAGGATTGATTATAAAGTGAAAATAGTTTTAGGAAAACAGTAATATATCATTATGCCTCATTACTTTCAGCATGACGAGAAACGGAAATCTTTGACCACCAAGGAATTGAATCGCTTACAATCCGTTATTTTACGTGTTACGCAAAGAATTGTAGAATTGGAGAGCGAGAGGAGAATTCTTCAGATGCAAACGCAGGATGAAAACAACAAGTTCGATCTACTTGCCGCATTGCTAACGAAGACGAAGAAACTCTTGGAGGAGAAGAAGGAGGCTCTTTATCAAGTGGAGTTCAATCTGCATAAGTGCGAGATGAAACTCGAGCGAATCAGAGGACGCGAGAGCGACAAGAGTGAAACCGAAAAAAAGCAGAAGAGAATCGAAGAATTGCAAGCTATACTAAACAACAAAATAACTACATCTAAGCTGCTGCAAAGCCAGATCGCCAATTTGGAAGTAAAGTCTTTCGTGCTTAAAATCGAAATCAATAACAGAAACTATAATAGATCGAAGCCTAATTAAAGAAAATTCACTTAAATAAAATTTGAAGTAAAAAAAGCTTTTTTTTATTTTTCAGCATGATATAAAAAAGATATCTAGCTGTTTGTCAAACGAAAACTACGAACTTGAACGATTACGCAGCAAAAAGCAGGATTTGTTGTTGCTGTTAGATGGAGGCGAGAAGCAACTGAAGATCGCGCAATCCCGCAACGAGGAGAGACAAATGGAAGAAAATATAATGCGTCTTCGAGTATCACAGCTCAAGCAAATGACATCAAATGTGAGTGACAAGGTCTACGATTTGGAAAAATATCGCCTTTATCTCGAAGCGGTAAGTCATTTTTATCGTTGGTTTCGTCATAAACTTACTCCAAAAAGAGTCACATATATTACAAAATTAATTATCTATCTTTCCTTGTAGGCACTTAAGGAGCGCACCGTAGAAATCATAGCGCAAAAGGAGGCACTTGCCGTGCAGAAGAGAATCGTCAGCAATGAATGTTCAGAGCTACGCACTGCCATTGCCGAAAGAGGAAACAGGATACAGCAATTGCAAACGCGACATGACAACGCCGTCGCGACATTGACCGTTATTCCAGACGGGTCGCCGATGACTACTGCATACTTGAAAATACAGAGTGCTCAGGAGCGATATTTGCTGCGAGAGCGAGGTGACAAACTGGACGAAGCCATCGGACGAACCGAACAAGAGATACGTAGTATGGAAAATACGCTACGCGTAGTGAACACGTGTAACGACAAGTACAGGGACAGTCTAAGCGCGGTAAATCAAGATGAACCGGAGTGGACGGAGCAGAAGAGACTTGACGAGCAGATGCATGATGCGCAGCAAAGATTGCGCCAAAAGCAGGCACACTTGCAACAACTGTTTGACGAATTGCAGGTATTTTGCGTGTAAAAGCTTTTCTATCGAATTAAACCACAAGTTTATTCGAATTTCGCTAATAGATATCTTTAGGAATTATTTATTCAACTAACTTGATTTATAATTTATAAATTTTGTATCGGATAGTATCGGATTGATGGTAACGGAATGAGATGAATAGCGGCATGTGATTTAAAACAGAAAATATTTTCCTATTTTTTTTTTTTTTTTTTATGAATAATATACATTACTTATAATAAATTAATATAACTAGTAAGTTTACCTAATTGGAATAACATAAATCAATTTTGAATCTTATCGGACAGAGAACACAGAATGATTATACTAAACTGCTTGATGATGTTGAAAGAGCAAAAGAAGAGAAAGAAAATAAACAATGTTATTTATCGGGTATTGAAAAACAGACAACGGAACAGGGAGAGAAAATATCCAGAGCTGACAAGAATCTTTGGAAGGCACACAAGGATATACAAAATTTGTACATTTCTAAGAGAGATAACGTCATACTTTTACAACAGGTAAAATAAGTAGCTTTCTAGCAAGGAAGACGAGTTTGCATATGGAGCGGTTTTCATGATTGCCAATTAAGACAAAGATTTTCTTATTTGGCAATTACATAAATTTATATGACACGAACTAAAGATGACTTTAACATAAAATTAGACTGTAAAAACCACTTTAGAAATCGACTTATGTCGACTTGCATTTTTTACTAGAAAGCAATCAATAAAAGTTTCCTGTTAAATTATACTTTTTATTAATTTTATCTTGAAATATTTTTCAGAAAGAGGTGGAATTGCGAGAGCTTCAAGAACGGAACGCGCTGGTTCTTCAAGACATTGCGGAATTCACAATTCGTTATGTAGAAGCTGAAGCGTATGTAAAGAAATTACTTATGGCCAAGAACATCGCGTTACCGTGCTTCCTTCCATCGACTAGATCGCTCATCAGTCCATGCGAGAGTTCCACGAGCTCGATAAATCAGCCTTTGAAGAGCACAAGTCGCATGAGTATCTTTACATCATCAAGGGAGAGTATCGGCAGTGTAGTAAAAATAGAACCACAATTTGAAAAACGTACGTATATTGAGATTAAGAATAATTGAGATATGTATCGAAACATATTTGTAATTTTTATGTATTGATATCTTTTGTTCTCCGACATCCGCGCTTCTAATTTTTTATCGCGTTTTTTGTTGCATTGTTATTAATGGAGATATTATTTAGAAGTCTTTGTATTACATTTTTTATTTTTATATATTGTTGGAAAACTTGAAAAAAATATTTAGCAAATTTTAAATAACTAATATTTTTTTAATTACTTAACAAAAACACTAATTTGTATACTGTATCTGATTTCAGCAGAAAGTAAGACGTTCACGAATAGAAAGTATGATCAACATGTTAAAAAAAGTGTTTTGTCAAAAAAATCAATTTCCGTACATGAAAAGCAACGATCACAAAAGAAATCGTGATAAGAATCAATGTGTATAATTTTTCGCACACACAAGAGATATAATAGATTAAAAGACTTTGGTTTCCTATTATATCTCTATAACAAAAAATACACATAATAAAATATAATTATTATACCAAGTAACTCCCCAAATTTTGGACGTTGGAAACAGTCACCCTCTGAGATCATATTCAATACATATATGAACGAGTCAGTGTGCACTTTTTACACTTTAGCACTATCAAGTGCACAGAATAAGTAAAACGAATAAACCTATAGAAGTTATGAGGAGTTTAGTGCATCCTGGTACATCTAATGTGTTTAATTGCGACGTATTTAATCCATATCTATGATTTAATCTAACCCAATCTAACCTAATCATTGGAATATTTGTCCAAATTTTGATGTGAAATAAAATATTTGTGTAATTAGATACAATATTCAAGATTGCTCATTAAATTATAATTTTAATCAAGATGTCTGAATTAACACAAGTTCAGAAGCACAAAATTTTCGGAGGATGGCAAAAAGTATATTCACACAACAGGTAAATAGTTTATACAATACATGCTTTTTATATATTAGCAATCTCAACCAAACACAAAATTTAATTTCTATATCTTGAATTTTTATACATATTTTTATACATATTAGAAAAGATAAATGTAATTATTTAATAGTACAGAATTGGGATGCACAATGAAATTTGCTGTTTATTTGCCACCACAAGCTGAGAAAAGTTCTGTACCAGTTATCTATTGGTTATCTGGCCTCACCTGTACCGAAGCTAATTTCAGCGAAAAAGCTGGTGCTCAGAAATATGCTGCTGAGCATGGTGTAATTCTTGTTATTCCTGATACAAGCCCAAGAGGATTGAATATTCCCGGGGAGAATGACAGTTATGATTTTGGCAGTGGCGCAGGATTCTATGTGGATGCAACATGTGAACCATGGAAAAAAATTATAGAATGTACAGCTACATTACCAAAGAATTGCCAGCTTTGATCAATAAAGAATTTCCAACTTTACCAAATAAGCAGTCTATAATGGGCCATAGGTATAAAAATAGTGATCTTTTGCAAGAATATTTTTAAAATAGTTTTAAAATAATATTTTTTTCTGATTTAGCATGGGAGGGCATGGCGCTTTAATATGTGCCCTTAAAAATCCTGGACAGTTTAAAACAGTTTCAGCATTTGCACCAATAAGTAATCCGATTCAATGCCCGTGGGGAAAGAAAGCTTTCTCAGGATATTTAGGAGAATCAGAGGCTAACGATGCATGGAAGGAATGGGATGCTACAGAACTTATGAAAAATTATAATGGCCCACTTTTGGATATTTTAATTGATCAGGTTTTGATTTGTTTTTTATTATAACATATCTAATAATATAAATGTCGTAGTATCTTAATAATAAAAAGGTTATTGTTATTAAAGATATAATTTTTTCTCCCTTTTTTATGTACATTGTTAGTCTGTATTTTATTGATCGTTAATATTGTTAGATTTGTACAATAATCTTTAGAAATTTTTCAATATTGTGTTTTTATATTCAAGATATTTTGAAATTCTACTTATATAGATGTAGAACAATTTATGACTCTATAATAAAAAGATTGGATGTTTTCAGGGTAAGGACGATCAGTTCCTGAAACAAGGTCAACTATTACCAGAGAATCTATTAAAGGCTGCAAAGGATAACGGCATATCGCTCGTTCTCAGATTCCATGACAACTATGATCACAGCTATTATTTTATAGCTACATTTATCGAGGATCATTTCGAGCACCATATAAAATATCTTAAAGATTAAGTCTGTTCAGAGAATCATTGCTTTACTGTTAAAAATGGGGATTTTTATATAGCAATTTTACATTATATTTTTTACAAGATTTATCTTGTACTTTTTATAAAGATGATATTAAAATAAAGGAAAACCAGAACTCACATTTTTCAATCAATAAAGAATGGCATGAATAATTATTAATATATAATGTAATTTTCACATTATAGATTATTTTTTCCAAGGGATAATAAAAATATATTCATGTATAAAAATGAAGAGCATAAATAATACAAATATGTTATATATATTGAAATTTTCACATTTAATAAAATTGTTATTGACGATAGAAACTATAATTTGCACATAATAGACTATCATAAACAATATAATAGATAAGAATTTATATCTAGATTATCATTGTGATCTCCGAGGTTCTCGGAAGCCATGCCAAAGGGTCAAAAGTGGTTCACGTTTTTGCCAAATATTAGCATTGCCCCAAACTTGCCAAAATCTATAGTTGAAAAAAAAAATAGCGTGATTTATTTTATCATTGTATCATTTGGTAAAAACAAAATAATTATATATTTTATTAAGAAAATTATCTAGCATTTTCCTAAACTTTTAAAAATATAGTTAAATTTTTCTATTTCTAATTTTTTCATGAAGTTAATATTTTGTAAATTTTCTCTTCTTGCATTGTTCTTACACTATTTCACATTTACTTGTCCACCACAACAGTAAACAAGTTGTGGAAGATCAAAACACTTTCATTCTGCGCATGTACCATTAAAATTAGAATAGAGTCCAAAGAAAAAATTTAGAATAAAAGATTAGTGTCAATGAGTTAAAATTAGAAGCATTTGACTAATACTCTACAATTTTAAACACTACATTTTACATTTTTACATTTTCAAACTTATCAAATTGATATATAGTTGCATAATTACATATATTTTGAATCATACTACAATATAATATGATATAACTTACATGCCAAATAATGCACCACCTAAATGTGCAGCATGATCAAAATATTTCCATCCTAAACAGCAACCGGTTACATCTAGGGCCATTATTCCTTTAATTGCCTAAGATAAAAACATTATGACAAGTTATATTATGAAAATATATATGAAGTGTGGTAAAATTGAATCCAAATAATAGCGAAAAAGTATAATATATAATAGAGATAATATTACATTATATATTGGCTTGATTCATAAGTAAGGTCCATTTTCTTTAAAAAGATTTTCTACAAACGGTATTTCTACAAAACGGTACAGTACGGCAATGTATTTAGCATTTTTACTAAATTGTTCGCTGTGCTGTGATTTGCAACTAGTGGAGTTAGTAACTTGAGATTCTCAAAAAGAATTGTTATCTACAGCGAAATTTATTTATGGTGTTCATTATCAAAAATTGAAACTTTAATACATACCATACCCGCTGTAAAAGTGAGCATAGGAAGAAAAATGATATTAAGTTGTATATCGGGATATTGTGTACAGACAAATCCAAGCACACCCATGATTGCTCCTGACTAAAAATTAAAAAATAACACCATTAAAAACCGAGAATCTTTTTTTATATGGTTGAGAAGATGCAACAACAGAAAATATTCTAAAGTGTGGAATTTATAATTTTAGAGACAATTAAAGACAATTACGATATTTTGATATATCTGATAAACTGAGTCGGAG